AAGGAAGGAAGGAAGGAAGGAAGGAAGGAAGGAAGGAAGGAAGGAAGTTCCTTGGCTGTTTATTAAGAGAAGGAAAGCGCAGCCTGCTTCCACTTTCCGTTGGGAAAACAATATCCACGGAGCCCCTCCTTCCAAGAGAGGTCCAACAATCCTAGCCACATGTCTTTCCCCAGACGTACCCTATAAAATAAGCCCTAGAGGTACTTCCTGACCATTTCAATCACAACGTGTCATTCCAAAAGCTGTAAGGTTTCATGAGCTATGAAGAACAGGCAGAGGGACTGGCCATTCTGAGCTCCGGCTGCCCACCCAAAAAGCGTATTTTCCCCCTCGCTCTTTCTCTGAAAGACGGAGCTTGGATCTTCCACAGCCAACAACAGCCTGACCGAGGATCCTCCAAGAACACTCCCATCAATGCCCGACAGGAAAAACCGCTGATAGATAGATAGGTAGGTAGGTAGATAGATAGATAGATAGATAGATAGATAGATAGATAGATAGATAGATAGATAGATAGATAGATAGATAGATAGATAGATGATAGATAGGTGGATGAAGATAGGTAAAAGGTAGGTAGATAGGTAGGTAGATGGATAGATGGAAAGATGGATAGGTAGGTAGGTAGGTAGGTGGATAGGTAGATAGATGGTAGATAGGTGGATAGGCAGGAAGGCAGGCAGGCAGGCAGGCAGGCAGGCAGGCAAGAGAGCAAGCCCCACCCACTCCTGGCACTGATGATGTTACTTAGTTGGGTCATGAAACGTCTGCAAACAAACAAACAAACAAACAAAAAACAACCCCCAGGCTCAGAGAGCAACAGGGACCCTACAGTCCTCCTCCTCCTTCTTCCTCCTCCTTTCCTCTGCAAACTGCACTCCCTCCTAGCGCTGATGACGTTACCTAGTTGGGTCATGAAATGTCTGCAAGAAAACAACCAAGGTCAGAGAGCTCCAAGGGACTCTGCAGTCCTCCACCTCTTCCTCGTTCTCTTCATTACCTAGTTTGGATCATGAAATGTCTTCCAGAAAACAGCCAAGCTCAGAGAACACTGAGGATCTCACCGTATCTCCTCCTCTTCCTCCTCTTCCTCCTCCTCCTCCTCCCCCTCCCCATAGTCCTGATGATGTTACCTAGTTGGGTCATGTAATGTCTGCAAGAAAACAAGCTCAGAGAACACCAAGGATCCCACAGTCTCCTTCTCCTCCTCCTCCTCCCATGGTACTGATAGCGTAACCTAGTTGGGTCATGAAACGTCTGCAAGAAAGGACCCCACCATTCAACCCTGAGCTATAAATATTCTCTTCTGTCGGATCTTCGACTAGCGCATGCACAAAAGCGGAAGGACATTTCAACCCCCAGCACGGGTGAAGGGTTGCAGGAGCTGCTGGAGGTGAGCTGAAGTGGCAAAAATGGACTATTTCGATTAAGGAAAAGAAATACTTCGGTTTCCACAGGGGGACCGCTTCTGAATTTTGTGATTGAAGTGGAAAAGAAGGAAGCTTTCGTTTTGGGGTTTTTACCGGCTACTAGACTGATATAGATCCTTGTAGAAACGGTTAGTTGATATTATTATGAAAAAAAAAAACCAAAAAATTGTGATTTTTTTTTTACTGCAATAGAGAGAGAGTCGGAATTCAATGTTTCTTTTTCTTTTTTCTAATCCTTCCTCACTTTTTTTCCCCTCCTTCCCTTCCTCCCCATTGTTTTCCTATTTTCTTTCTGTATTTTTTTTTAATAATGCTTTAATGATTTTTTTTTCCATTTATACATAATACCAATAGTTATTAAACAGCGCTGTGACATTATATATACATTTATGTGTCCTATCAAAACTTACAAGGCATAATACTTTCATAACCTCTTATTTATTATATACATTATTTACATTTTCTATTTTTATATCTATTATCTATCCAAATAAACCATGTTTCCCATACTGCGTTGTATTCTGTTTTCCCTTTTAATTACATAGTTAATTTATCCATTTCCACACACTCTAAATATGTTTTGATTATTAAGCCTTCAAGGTGTATAGAGTTTTCCTTTCAGTACTGAGCATATGAAATTTTTGCTGCTGCTAATATATGTAATATAAGATATTTTATCTTTCTATTATTAAAAATAACCCTTTAACTCTTTCATATTTTCTGTCTTTTCTCCTCCTCCTCCTCCTCCTCCTCCTCCTCCTCC